AGCGCTGGCGGGAGCGGGGTGCCAGCCGGGGGGATGCACATGGACTCTCACTTTCAGCAACCCCACTCGCACCCGTGCTCAGGCTGCCTCGGGCGTCACCTGAGAGACAGAACACCTGTCCCTGGCGTGTCCTGGCGTCCCAGCTCTGCAGCAGCCGCTTCCCCTTCAGCTCTTGGCGTTAGCAAAGCACGGTGGCCAGTTCAGCCCATTTTACCCACAAAACTGAGGCTCAGGGAAGGCTGGGACCAGCTGGGACCAAACCTGAGATCCCCTGGGACCTCCCTAATGGTGAAGGTCCTCAGCCATCCCCAAAAGCTGCTGGTGGAGGGCGTGCAGGGGAGCATGGTTGAGCCACACAACAGCCTGGGGAGGGAAGAGGGCCAGCCCGGGGAGTGCAGAGCGGGAGCTGTGCTGGTCCAGTGCTGTGCCCCACGGGGAGCCAGCGCCTTGGCAGCCAAGAGGGAGCTGGCAAGGTGCTGGGGATCGATCCTGGCATCCCTTGGCACACACCCCTGTGGGCAGTGGAGGAGAAGGAAGAGGCAGTTGGGGATGGAAATGCTCTGCAGGGTCCCCTCCTGCCCCTGTCCCAACAGACCTGCCAGCTCACGGGGCTGGTGTCCACTCAAACCTTTGCTTTGCTGACACACCAAGCACTGGCACAGCTGTCCCCACAGGCATGGCCTCCTCTTCTGGATCCTGGGCAGAGGATTGCGCTGCCAACTTACACCAACGCACGCAGTCATGCTGGGGAATTGGTGGCAGGAACTTGGCTCATCCATGACAGCAAAGCCTTCATCAGAAGGAAGTGCAGAGAGGTGGAGTCACCCCTGGTTGTCACCAGCACAGTGCAGGGCTGGGCTTTACTGCCCACGAGTGGGATGGTCCCTCCACCCCAAATGAGTGTAACGTGGTGAGGGAGATGCTGGCAGGTCAATGGGATTAAGTGCAGTGAGAGATGAGCTGCCCATTGCTGTCTCCCATCACATCTCTTCACCTCCTTCTGCTGCTCTTTCTCCAGGTTGGGTGACTCTGGTCTCCATCGGCCGTCATGGATTGGAAAACGCTGCAGGCTCTGCTCAGTGGGGTCAACAAGTACTCCACAGCCTTCGGCCGCATCTGGCTCTCCGTGGTCTTCGTCTTCCGCGTGCTGGTCTACGTGGTGGCAGCCGAGCGGGTGTGGGGAGATGAGCAGAAGGACTTTGACTGCAACACGCGGCAGCCGGGCTGCACCAACGTCTGCTACGACCACTTTTTCCCCATCTCCCACATCCGCCTCTGGGCCCTGCAGCTCATCTTTGTCACTTGCCCTTCCCTCCTGGTCATCATGCATGTGGCCTACCGGGAGGATCGCGAGAAGAAGAACCGGGAGAAGAATGGGGAGAATTGCCCCAAGCTCTATAGCAACACGGGCAAGAAGCACGGTGGGCTGTGGTGGACCTACTTGTTCAGCCTCTTCTTCAAGCTGATCATAGAGATTCTGTTCCTCTACCTCCTCCACAAGATGTGGGACAGCTTTGACTTGCCACGGCTGGTCAAGTGCTCCAATGTGGACCCCTGCCCCAACACTGTGGACTGCTACATTGCTCGGCCAACTGAGAAAAGAGTCTTTACCTATTTCATGGTCGGAGCCTCCTCCATCTGCATCATCCTCACTGTCTGTGAGATCTTCTACCTCATCTTCAAGCGGGTTGTGCGGAACGCACGGAGGTGGAGGAAGTCCACCAAGCGCTCCGTCAGCTACAGCAAGGCCTTTCAGTGCCACCTCAAGACAGAGGAGAAGGACAACAAATCCCAGACTAGGTGTGTGACAGCCCTGCGAGCCTCGGCTCCCAACCTGACCGCTGTCTGACAGGTTGCTGGGAGGGGAAAAGGGAGACGTGTCCAGGGGTGGTTCACCCCAGAGGTGGCCATTGGTGATGCCACCACCAGACTCTTCAGCCAGGACCTTGATGGTTCTGAAGGGGAGGGGGACACATCCATGGGAAGTCTCCTGCCTGGGGCCATGGGCACGTGTCGGGGTGTCCCAGCGGTGTGGGCACACTCGGTGGCAATGGGGGTCATCCCTGAGGGTGTCTGTTCTTTCCACAGAGGAGAGGAGCTGTGAGCTCACCCGTCCCAGCCGGCCCACCTTCCCCTTGGCCCAGCAGCTTCTCAAGCCTGTCACCTCCCTGAACCCTCAAAAGTCGA